GTAAGCAGTTGTCTGTGATATCTGGTATACAGTTACTCATGTTTGGATGTCGCAAAGTGGAATGTGTCGGGGAAGATCTGGTCAGATTAGATGATATGTGAGCCATTTCTTCCCGCGTTTTATTTTGATACGGTATTTATATAGAATTTCTACAGTAAATATGTGCTGTTTACAGGATTACTTTGAAGATGGATGTACAAGTGGCAGCATCAATAGTAGCTTTGCGTCCGTGCATTGAAGCAATGCTCGTAAGAAGTTGTATCAATCCGGAGTCTTTGATGACAGCTACTGAGCAAGGTAGGTAGGCCATCATCTACTATCCACTTTTCATTCTTTTTCTCTCTTTAATCAGAGACGTTATTCCATTGTTACTTTTTCTTCTAGGCCTTAATGATCTATTTTGACGGGCTATTTGAGCATTAACACTTATAAACGAATACTTCTATCGTACATTGGAATTACGATGTAAAGCGTTGGCAGCTTTGCTTAGCGCTGCCATTAAGCACTTCCCACAATTTCGTCAGAAGCATACGGTATTACATACTGACGCATGCGGACTCGGCGTCCTCAGAAAAAAACTTTCAAGGTTTTTGTAACTATCATGGGGCTAGTGCCAAGCCATCTACAACTTCAAACAATTATTCCTCAATGGCTAAGATACGAGACCCGTTCATAAGTTTAATCTCAGTTTAGTCTAGCCTCAAACGGACTCGTTATGGGAGGTTAGGCTAATTGAAAAGCTATGTAGTGAAACAGTGACAAATTATTCGAGACACTTATATGGCGAGCTTTTAGATCGAGAACTATGTACACTTCTGCGGGAACTTTCTTCTCCTGAGTTCTTCGCGGGTGGAGGACCAATGAAAGATGCCTTGCTAACGGATGCGGCCTTGGTAAACATCTTCGTTTTGCTTTTAGATTGTCACCTTTTACTTTGCGACATTCAAATGAGGCTATCATACTCCAAAGTACGATATGAAATGTATGTAATTTGCTAAGCCTCAAAATGATACTCGTTTCTTTACTTTACTCGCATTGCGTTCTCCTTTTATTAACTTTTCGATTTGATCTTCACGTCATAGCAAGTGATTTTTCTATCTTTCTCAATATTATGATTTTATCAGATTGTTATTAGTTTCTCTTTAGGTTCAGCCCATTACTGCGGGGCGAGGCCGGGGTGGACCGCGATTTGCAGGTATTGATCATTTTGTTCTGGTTTCACAGTTTTTCCATGGCTGCTTCTTTGAAGTCCCATCAGGACCCTATATTGAACTATTTAAGGCCCCCGAGGCGATCGTGGAGGCGGAGGACGTGGTTGGAGAGGAGGTGCTTCATTTGGAGGGCCAGAACCAAATGGTATTCGATACGTTCACTAACGTCCACTTTTTGCCTAAAACTTTTGTAGTCCCAACTCACCATAAAAGAAATTGCTAGTTGCTTGCGTAATTATCGTTATTGGATTTGTTAATAGGAAGTATATGACACTGCACACAACCGCCCTATTATTTTTCTTTGTTTTTCTCAAATTAACATCTCACAAATTTGCAAAATTGCAAACTTTACAGGT